CCATACTTCATCATGGCAAGGATGGCATCAGATGGCTACCGCTCAGTGGAAGACCTTGCTGATCGATGGCCCACCATCACGGAGGCCCGGAACAACTCCCCAGCAGACCTCCAGTTCCGTCACACAGACCGTGGGGGAGCTTTGATCACACAAGAGAAGACAAATCACTTGGCCATGCGCATCTCACAATGTGTCCGTCAAGCACAACAGTTGTTGGGCACTGGGGGCCTGAACCAGGGCCGAGTGGGGCCTGCAGGGCTACTGCCGACGACGTCTCAGGCGGCGCCCTCACTGGATGCCCTGTGTGATCGACGCCAGCTCCTGCAGACATGGACGGTGGTCGTTCAGCTCCCACTCCCACGATTGGAGGATCAAGGCTCCGATGCCTTGTTGAAGAAACAGTTCAAACTCTGTGCGCAAGGAGAAGTTGGTTGGATTGCCAGCAAGTACATCATATCAGCCCTACCAGACCAGGATGAGCGGCCTATCAAGACCACCAAGAAGGTGACAGTCGATGGATGGGAAAAGGAAGAAGAGGAGGAGACACGGAAACTCCCAACTACGAGGCGTCAGTTGGAGCACATGCACCTGGTCTTTCGAACCAACCTCCTCATGGCCATCCTCTCTTTTCCCAGCATGCCGAAGCTGAACATCACCCATAGGGACCTAGAGGACTGGTACCGATGGTTCTGGGGGAAAGACATTGCGGACAGGCGACCGCCCCCCAGTGAACAAGTTCTCCTCTACGCTGAAAGGAACGCATGGAGGGAGATCCACAACTTGGTCTACGGGGGACTGGGCCTCAAGGAGGCCATGGCCCAACTACGTCAGGACACCCTGTTTTGGACCAGAGAGGTCTATGAGTCTGTCGCCCGGCAGAAAGGCACCAAAGGCTCTGGGCCTGACTCCCCAACACGACCAGCCAAGGCAAAGGGACGCCAACCTTCATGGTCACCAACTCAGCCACAATGGAACAAACACAAAGGGTCACCCAAAGGGGGTAAGGCCAAAGGGGCCATGGGATCCGGAAAAGGGAAGGACTCTGAATGGCCTTCAAACTGGGCTAAGATCTCACCCAAGGGAGTGCAGTACTGCCGTGACCACTTCCTCAAGAAGAAATGTCCCGGGAACTGTGGACGCTCCCACAACTGTCCGGTCCTCAAGAATGGCTGGGTATGCAACGCCGCGCCCTCAGAACACACCCCAGAGCAATGCCCACACCGTTGACTCCTGGCGGACCCGGTAGCGTCTTGCACCGATCACCCACCAGGGTTGATGGACACCCCAACACCTGTCAAAAACCAAGCAACAACGGAACCGGGGGGGCCTCCCCCAGGTTACCCTAACGACACAAGCACACCACATTCACAACAAGAGGCAGTGGGCCGATCACTTGACACACCGGCGATCATGAATGGACAGTCCCTGCTTGGGCACTGTCCATGGCTTTCATCGGTTCCGAACAGGCTGTTGGAACGCCTTGTATGGACCACACAATCCACGGGTAGTCTCCAAGGGAGGGACATCCTACTCCTCTACACCGGCAGGAGTGACGGAGGAGCCCTGGATGACGTACTCATCCAACAACGCCAGGACCTGGCCCCCAGGCTCCTTGCCGTGGACATCCTGAGGCCACCAGAAAAGGGCCCAAACGACATATTGGATGATGAGTTTTACTCAACTCTCTGCTGCGCCGCCGCGAGGGGCCAGTTGTCATTTGTGGGGGGCGGCCCCAACTGCCGGACCTGGAGCATCCTACGATGGTTCCCAAAGCCTGGAGCGCCCAGGCCTGTACGAGGACGGGATCCCTCCCAGACATGGGGCCTTGACTCAAACTCCCTGGAAGAACAGTTGGACACAGACAAGGACAGTATCCTTCTGCTCCGGCAAATGGTCATCACTGCCCTAGCCTCCAAAGCCAGGCAAAACAAAGGATTCCACTCGTTCTTGGAACACCCTCGTGACCCAGCTGAGTGTAGTAGGGCTCCAACGGCGACAAAATGCTCATCGATATGGGCCACTAGAGTCTACCAGGAGTGGGCCAAAGAGGTAAATCACTGCCAGATCCACCTGGACCAGTGCAGACTGGGACAAAGGGCACAGAAGAGTACGACCTTCTCAACGGACCTTCCAATTCACCATTGGCAAGGCCTCCAATGCAACCACGCTGGACATTCAAGGCCAATGGAGATGACCTCCCGGGACCTCAGCAGATACCCGCCAGAACTGATGACCGGGCTAGCAGCAGCAATCATCCAGAGCATTCCAAACACAGGACATCAACCCACCGGGTGCCAACAGGAAGGGGAGCCTCCAGGTCGGACGGACCGCTCCTCATCTGTACCCCTCTCCCAGACGATGACTTTGGATGACGACCCGATCATCGTTCAATCAGGCTTCAAGACTAGACCCTTACGGGATGGAGGAGGTAAGCCCTCAGCCGGGAGACGACCTCCCCCGCTCAGACCTCAGTCCAAGATCAAGCACATTGGAGACTCCATTAGCCACCTGGCAAAAGGATGCGCACAGGACGTCCAACAGTCCATCAACAGTGGTGAAAGAAAACACCCGTTCCCGAAGGAACTTCTCCAGAAGACACGACGGGCCATTGCCCAAGGGATCGGGTTGGACTACCAAATCGCTGAGGAGATGGAGCCAGGCCAGCCGTTCTATCTGAACCTCATCTCAGCATTAGCAGAAGCTGGTGGAGATGCAGATGCAGCCTACCCCACAAGGGTGGCCAAAGGAGTCCCCTTAGGTGTCACCACACCCACCTGGACGTCACCAGGCATATGGCCTACCAAGGAAGAACTCAAAGGAGAATCCCCTCTGTGGGAGGACCTCCTGATACCCATGGGCAGGGACAACTACCCCTCGGCAAAAGATTTCTCCTCTCAGGTTCGACAGACCTTCGTGGAGGAGGTCGATATGGGTATGGTTGAGGGCCCACTCACACAGGAGGAGGCTGCACTCCGCTGTGGATGCACCCCAGATGAACTCTGCTCAGGGCCCCTGGCAGCAATTGATGAAGGAGATAAAATCCGCACAATCTACGACGGAAGCTGGGGCCATGCAAACTCACACATCCAACAAAACACAGTTGAGAAGACCACTGCACCCACAGTGATGGACTGTGTTCAAGCCATTCACTGGCTAACCACCATGAAGGAGAAGACATCTGGGACGGTAGCGTCTTGCACCGACCTGGCATGGCAACCTCCACACAAACAAACCACCTGGGCACTGTTGAAAGCAGATGTCTCAAAAGCACACCGCCGCATCAAGGTCCAGTCCAACGAATGGCGCTACCAGGTAGCACAACTTGATGGTGAATGGTGGATAAACAAGGTGGGTACCTATGGTATGGCCAGCGCCCAACTTTATTGGGGCAGAATGGCGGCACTCCTCCTCAGACTATGCTACATGATGTTTCCACACATAGACTGGGGCTTTGTGTTCGTGGACGATTTTTGTTGGCTCCTCAGGACGGACTCCGCCACTGAGGATACTGCAAAACTACTTCTCTTCTTAGCAGCCATGGGATGCCCCCTCAGTTGGCACAAGACGGTGTTATCTGAGGTCAACACCTGGTTAGGTTTCCAGGTCAATCCATGTGGACCCGTGGTCGACTTCCCTCCAGATAAGAGGAAGACACTTGAGGCACTCCTTCAGACCATTGCGGCGGGCAACACCTTCACGGTGAAGGAGATTGAGAGAGCACTGGGACGATTGAATTGGGCAACGGCAGCTTGGCCCCTCAGTCGCCCTTTTCTTCAGCCATTTTGGGCATGGAAATCCGCGACGACTACCTCAGGGAAGCCTGGCAAGCTCATACGATCCTTCTCAAAGCTTCTCCTCCAACTGCTTCACAACCCCCAGATCCAGCCCTGCCCTTATGACCCTGCCTCCAATTGGTGGGGTGCCAGTGATGCTAGTGCACACCCGGACGATGGGGCCTACATTGGGGGATGGATTGCAGATTGTGAGAACCCGTCAAAAGGCCAGACCTGGTGGTTCCATTACAAGATACCCCCCGAAGACCATCCATGGGCTCACAAGGATGGTGATCCAACCAGACGCATTGCGACCCTCGAGATGTTTGGTACATTGATTCTTACCCACTTCCTGCTGGCTTTGGGTGGGAAATCTCTGCTTCGTACCCGTCTCAGCCTCATTTCAGACAATCAAGGCAATGTCTTTGCCCTGTTGAACCAGAAGACGAAGCACATGCCTACCTCAGCTTTCCTAATGCAGCTCATTGCCATGCTCTATGTTGCTGGGGTTCAATTGGCGCCTTCACACATGAAGCGGGACTACAACAAGTGGGCGGACGAACTCACCCACCCGAACTTCACTGGTTTTCATCCTGATCGACGACTACCAGTGAGTGAAGCTCTTTCCCATTTTAAATTTCTCTGGGCCCTTCTGGATGACCAGATGAGTGTCCCCACCTTTTCAGGAAATTCAAAACGTCGTAAGACCGACTCTCACGCCACCTAAGGTCCTTCGGGAGCCAGGTGGTTGCGGCTGACTTTCTGGTGTACAGTGGTGTTTTCCCACCTACAACCCTCTTTTTCCTTTCCTTACTTGCGCGGGCTACACGCTCCGGCGGGTTGGGTGGATTTTGACGTGTGACACCACCACTGCATTTCAGAGTTTCTGTGAAACCATTTGTGATGGATGCGATTGGCATCTGACAGAAACACAGCCGCAAAGCCAACTGCATAACAAAAGGTGCTGACTGACCGATGCAGTTGCTTTGTTCCGTTTCTGTCATTTTCAATTCTATTCGGGAACACATAATATATATAATTATATATATAATATAATTATATAATTATATATATATATACATGTATGTATATATATATATATATATATATATCTTATATCTTATATCTATAGTTCATATATAATAATGATTGCAAGATGGTAAAGTTTGCGCTTTTTAAAGGACGGCATCGCTCCTTTTCCTAACCGCCGCTGCGGCGCCAAAAAAGGAAGATGACGATTTCAGTGACTGGAACATCGTTGATTGCGATCGGTCTGGGACACCCAGGTCCGCCAGGTCCTACACCGTAACGGACTGCTCGAAAAGGCAGACTCGAAAAGTGAGATTTACCAACGACTACCATTGTTTGTACCCCAGATATATGCTGTGTTATGCCATATTACTGAACTCGTACTTCACTATTTTTGGATATTTTTGCTTGGTATTTGGTTGGTATTTACGGAGGTATCTTAATTTTTTTATCATCCATCCGAGCTAAGGTCGCGCGTAAGGCACTTGGAGCGCCAAGGATTACAAGGACATGTGCACAAGGCGGGCCCGATTGGAGCGGCCCCCGGGAAGCATCTGAGGGGCGGCGAGGGTGTTTCAGTTTGTTTTTTTGGCCGATACTTTAAGACACTTTTAAGCAATGAACAGAAAAATGAACAAAGATTTCTTTTAGGAAGTTAAACATCCCGGAACTGATTCCGGGGAAAACACGGAAACTCGTGTCGCTAGATGTTGAATGATTCCATTATCCAATGTCTTTCGGAGAAGTGTTTCGTACACAAATGAAGCGGGGACCCAGGGTTTTGACCCTTTCGCATTTCAAAACGATCGAAATTTCATTCCAATGCGTCTCTGGTTGGTGGTGACTGGAACCATGGAATGGATGACATGACTTTCCAGAAACAGTTGAGAATGGAATGTCATCCCGACTGACGATTCGTCCATCATTTTTCAGAGGCACCAGGATCGACCTCTTGGGAGAAGGTGAAGTCAATGGGACCATTCTGATCCATGAACTCGTCGTTAACCAACCGGATAGGTCGTTTAATCCTAAAAAAGATGTTGCTAAATATCTAGTGACCAGGCAACAAAAGTTATTTTTTGTTATTTTTTTGCAGGGTATCTAAGATTGGCAATGGTTTTTCAGATGTTTTGTTTTGCCATGGTTCCAGAAGTTTCAGATCTGGTGTCTTGCCATCGCAGGTGAAGTCCATTTTGACGCAATTGTGGCAACCGTGTCGCGACTATTTGGTTTGGGCCCCAGATGGGAAGATGACTGGCAAGATCCTCTGGTCATCAGCGGTGCACCATGGTGCACCCATAAGCTGTGAGGAAAAATCCGGAAGTTTTGGATTGAACAAATGAAGAGGCCATCTGGAGTTGTTCCAGGGTTTTCATGTCGCCCATTCTTGACTAAGTATAAATTTAATCGTTCACTGGTTCATTAAAATCCAGTTTACCCTCTGTTAATCAAACATGGCAATGGAAAGCTCCACAGTTGTAGATTATGTTCCTCTTCAAACCTATTTTTTGTAGGGATTGCCCATTGCCATGTTTGATTACTGGAGGGTATGAGAACAAATTGGGGTTCAAACCTTGAACCTGGCTGATTTCCATTGGCTCGGATAATTACATCTTGAAAAAATATGGAGAATTGAAATCATGCAAAAAAAATGGAATTGAAATCATTTAAGTCTGAGAGGTTCAATTCCATGGAAAATCATGGATATGCTAGAGATCCTGTTTGTTTTGTTTTTCGTTCAATCCCCTTATTTCGCGGTCAAATTCCTTAAGTGGATCCCATCCGTTGTAAAAAGGATGGACCTGGAGCAGTAGCTTGGGTTCATCAAGGGAAAGAAGAAAGTCTGGGAGCTCAGAGCCAGCAAAAACACCAAAAAGAGCTGAACGGATTGAAGGGATTGACGCAGAAATTTGTGACATGTGTTTTAATGGGGTTTGATTAATCTGGTTGGTGGTTAATAGTGGTTAATAGTGGTTAATAGATCCCCGTTCGGTGCTGCAAGATTAAAACCGTAGGCTGGACCCTCCAAAAACACCAATTCATCCAGAAGAATTCATCCCACTTTCATACCTTAGATCTTCTTTTCAAATAGGTTTTCATCCCATGGCAGTGGTTCAGAATTTAAGTCTGTAGATACCCTGGGGCTTCAAGTTTTCATCCCAAAGGGGTGTGTAGGCTGATGATGTAGTATGTACGTGGGCCCTAGATTTTCATTCAATGTCACAGGTTTCCACCAAACTAATGTCCTAATTTTCGCTGCATGTACAAACCTTGATCCTTGGTTTTCATTGGAATTCGATCATCATCACAAATCACATAAATCACTAAGAAACCAGCATAGAAAATGAATGCTTGAGCACCTCGTAGTCACCACTGGTTTGCATATTAACATCCCCGTTTGGGGTTCCTGGGTGAAAAGGGTTAACCTGAGCCTCAAAATTTAACCCCATTTTAGCCAAATTTAGCCCCAAGCATGTTGGGCCTCATTTTTTTATCTTTTGGTCCCTTTTTACATATTTTAGAATTTTGATTTTAAATTCACCATGAAGCCAAAGGATTTTATCCAAGGGAACACCTCTTGAGAGCATTTTTGCAATAGGTTGGGCGCAGGTAGTTTCAACCACTGAAGCGTACTGAGAACCATTTTTGGCCTGAAGGTTGCACACAGGTTTTCATTCGACCGTGTCTTCTTGCAAGGCTCGACATTTTTGACGCCTATACGGTGAACATTGATTTTTTTTTTCAGAGGTGTATCTTGGGAGGTTGGATGAGGATGGGTTTGCAAAATTGAGTCATTAGTCGTTTATGTTGTATCTTGGGACGTTGGTACAAGATGGGTTGGCTCACATGTGTGGTGTCATCTGTTCCGAGTTGTTCAGGCAAAGTTCGAAACAGGGATGTGTGAGATGAAAATTTTCGGATTTGAAGTTTGTAGTGTGTCTTGGGACGTTGGTTCAGGATGGGTTGGCACACATGCGTGGTGTAATATGGAGAGCTGCTCCGGCAAAGTTCAAAAGAGGGATGTGTGAGATGAAAATCTTGGGGTCTGAGATTTTGTGGTGTGTCTTCAGGATGGGTTGGCACACATGCGTGGTGTAATATGGAGAGCTGTTCCGGCAAAGTTCAAAACACGGATGTGTGAGATGAAAATTTTCGGATTGAAATTTGTAGTGTGTTTTGGGACGTTGGTTCAGGATGGATTGGCACATATGCGTGGTGTAATATGGAGAGCTGCTCCGGCAAAGTTCAATACAGGGATGTGTGAGATGAAAATCTTAGGGTCTGAGGTTTTGTGGTGTGTCTTTGCAACATTGGTTCATTCCGAGTTGTTCAGGCAAAGTTCGAAACAGGGATGTGTGAGATGAAAATTTTCGGATTTGAAGTTTGTAGTGTGTTTTGGGACGTTGGCTCAGGATGGGTTGGCACACATGCGTGGTGTAATATGGAGAGCTGCTCCGGCAAAGTTCAAAACAGGGATGTGTGAGATGAAAACCTTGGGATCTGAGGTTTTGTGGTGTGTTTTTGGAATGTTGGTTCAGGATGGGTTGGCACACATGCGTGGTGTCATCTGTTCCGAGTTGTTCAGGCAAAGTTCGAAACAGGGATGTGTGAGATGAACATTTGCGGATTGAAGTTTGTAGTGTGTCTTGGGACGTTGGTTCAGGATGGGTTGGCTCACATGTGTGGTGTAACATGGAGAGCTGTTCGGCAAAGTTCAAAACAGGGATGTGTGAGATAAAAATCTTAGGGTCTGAGGTTTTGTGGAATTCTGTCCGACCTTGGCTCAGGGTTGGCACACATGCGTGGTGTAATATGGAGAGCTGCTCCGGCAAAGTTCAAGAGAGGGATGTGTGAGGGAGAGCTGTTCCGGCAAAGTTCAATACAGGGATGTGTGAGATGAAATCTTAGGGTCTGAGGTTTTGTGGTGTGTCTTTGCAACAGTGGTTCAGGGTTGGTACACATGCGTGGTGTAATCTGTTCCGAGTTGTTCCGGAAAAGTTCGAAACAGGGATGTGTGAGATGAACATCTTAGGGTCTGAAGTTTTGTGGTGTGTCTTTGTAACATTGGTTCAGGATGGGTTGGCGCACATGCGTGGTGTCATCTGTTAAGAGTTGTTGAGGCAAAGTTCGAAACAGGAATGTGTGAGATGAAAATTTTCGGATTGAAGTTTGTAGTGTGTCTTGGGACGTTGGTTCAGGATGGGTTGGCTCACATGCGTGGTGTAATATTGAGAGCTGTTCGGCAAAGTTCAAAACAGGGATGTGTGAGATAAAAATCTTAGGGTCTGAGGTTTTGTGGTAATTCTTTCCGACGTTGGCTCAGGGTTGGCACACACGCGTGGTGTAATATGGAGAGCTGCTCCGGCAAAGTTCAAAACAGGGATGTGTGAGATGAAAACCTTGGGGTCTGAGATTTTGTGGTGTGTATTCAGGATGGGTTGGCACACATGCGTTGTGTAACATGGAGAGCTGTTCCGGCAAAGTTCAATACAGGGATGTGTGAGATGAAAATCTTAGGGTCTGAGGTTTTGTGGTGTGTCTTTGCAACATTGGTTCAGGGTTGGCACACATGCGTGGTGTAACATGGAGAGCTGCTCCGGCAAAGTTCAAAACAGGGATGTGTGAGATGAAAATTTTCGGATCGAAATTTGTAGTGTGTCTTGGGACGTTGGTTCAGGATGGGTTGGCTCACATGCGTGGTGTAATATGGAGAGCTGTTCCGGCAAAGTTCAAAACAGAAGCTTGGTGGGATGAAAAGGGTGTGGTTGACCGTTCTCTGGGGAAGTTTTGATTTTACAATCTAAGGTTTTTTTGAACATACGCTGAGCACTGCTGTTTTCATCTCTTGTGCCATTTTTATTTTCAATTTTCAACATACCCCAGACACACTGAGTTTAATGTTTTGTACCTTGATTTTTCATTTTCAGAAATAGGGGTGGGGTCGGCTTTTCATCGTTTCACTTTTTTTTTGCTCATACCTTGGCCTCCCAGGTGTTTAAACTAGGTGTTTGGGATGAAAACCTGGTGCTGCACCCTAAGTTGAACACCCAACGGGGATATATTAACAAATGTTGCACCTTGAAGACTATGGGTTTCATTTTTTGCCTGGATTTCAGCATGATCAGATGTTGAACCTCAGGGGCAAAGGATTTCATCTTTTGCCAGAATTCAGTCTGATTAGATTTTGTAACCTCAGGGTCATAGGCTTTCATCCCCTTGCACAATGCCTGGGCTAGTGGTGTGGCAACTTTGAGGGGGTCGGTTGAGTCAAGGTTTTCAACTCTGCCTCAAAACGTCAAACCATAAGGTTTTCAACCCACATGCTGCGATAAAAACCATGGATCCAGTCTGAGCGCAGCACCATACGGGGATTTAATAGTGGTTAATAGTGGTTAATAGTGGTTAATATATCTGGTTGGTGGTTTAAGAATGGTTTGATGATTATTAGATCTATGTAAGATTGGCAAGTGGTGATAACTATGATACAATGATTACTGGTTGGTGGTTTGAATGGTTTGGAACATTAATTTTAATGTTTCCATTAATATTGGGAATGTCATTTCATCCCAACTGACAAACTCATATTTTTCAGAGGGGTAGGTCAACCACCAACAAGATATGTTTGGGCTACCATTTTTGTGGCTTCATCTAGTTTGCCCTTCGTTGGTTATGAAATGGGTTTCACTCAGGTTGCTTAGTTCTGGTTAAGTACTGACTATTCTTTTGCTATCAGTGGGGATACAATCCATTAGCCAACTCAGGAAAGTCTTGAGGCATTGGCGGTTTCCATGTTCCGTTTCATATTATAATTATATATATATAAATGTCCTGAAGAGGAGAAATAGAGAGGTAGAGCAAAACATCAAAAAACCATCGACCAACAGCACAAACAATACGGTCTCATAGGGATTAATGTTGGTAAACAACATTTGTTTCACCAACCATATGTTGATGGTTTATACCACCCATTTATGGTAAAATTGGGGAAGGTTTACTATTTCTTTAATATTCATAACCTTTGGGGGGCACCCTTGGACTCCCGGGAAAGTTGGTCAGTTGGTTCTTCGACATGTTTCCTGATTCCCGTTGATTCAATACACATGTTTGTGAGTGAAACACGTTCATGGAATGAGTAAAAGTGAAAAATATATATCATGTTGTTGTTTCTCATTCTTATATCCCTCCAATTTAGTTGGTCGAAAGAATATGTATAATATACTTTTTTCTACCCAAAAAGATTTTAAAAAAACCACACAAAAAACTCTGGTTTCCCAGTTTTCCCAGTTTTTTTCTGTGAGAACTCACTCATGGCATCCTTGTTTTGTTCCAACTCCTTTCCCTATGACAATTCCCAGTCGGACTTGCCCATGGTTTTTGTTCGGGGTCATGAAGCCTCCAAAGGTCGGTCCTTGCGGGTTTTTATCTCCAGTTGGAAACTTGAATGGGGAAAATATATATATATATAATATATATAAAGATGGGAAAATGAATATAAAAAGATATGGGAAAATGAATGAAAATGATGTGTTCCAAAGCAGGGCACGTTTCACTGCCATTGTCCCAAACGTTTCAATCTGCACAATAGATTTAGCAATTTTCAACTTCCAGATTTGCTAAAAATTGGACAATGGCAACATGAGTTTCATCCCAAGATGGAAACATTTGAACATGACAGCATTAGAATGATTCAGACTGATTTCACCCAGATTTATCGTGTTTGGTCGGCGTATTCGATTGGATAAGGAGGACCAAGAATCGTGTCCAACGGAACTGACAGAAGTGTTCTTTGCATTTCTTTGCTGTGTCTTGCGTGTCGTCTCTTGTGACAAGATGTGACAAGGTACTCCCAATGATTTTCTCCTGGTGAAAACTTTGCTTCTTCCAAGAGCACCATTTGTGCTGGACCAGGCTGGTAAGGTGAAACGGTCGATCCTTACCGGTCTATTCTACTCATCGAAGCGCTGATCGAAGCGCTGCTGGCGCCGCGAAGCAGCGAAGAAGTCCAAAGGTTCTGAAGGATGGGATCACGTTTGGTGGATTACCCTCTGGTAAACGTTTACATAGCGAACTGGAAAATCACCATTTACAATCGGTAGATCAACGATCAATGGGCCAATTTCATCCAATTTCCATAGTTTTTGTGTATGTTTACCAGAGGGTACACCTTACTCGCAAGGTGCGAAAGGCAAAGGCCAATGATTTTGGTGATGGGTTCCGTGCTGGCTCGCTGGAAACCCTGGGATCCATTGCCATTTGAGTGTCCAGCCTTGGTGAAAATGTTCTCATCCTGGCGGAAGTTGCCTTCTAAACAAGAATCGTGAACGTCAACAGCATTGGAGGAAAACATATCGATTACCACTTTTCCGCGTTTTTTGTTGGTACCTAGACCCTCCATTTGTATAGAAATTCTATGTTACCCCATCAAAATTCTGTGTTGCACTCTATAATTTTCATACTTGTGAGTACTAAGTAACCTCGCAATATTTTTGATATGTGATATGTGTTATACTTCAATAAACCTTAACTTACGAGGATATGTTTATAACATTTTATAACCACTATTTAACACTATTAATTAACCAGTATTTACTTTTGGTAAAAAAAAAATGTTGCTTTTTTTAGCAATATGTTTATTAACAAACACCGTAATATTATTTAACATTATTAACCAGTATTAACCACCATTAACCAGTTTTTGTGGGATCTGTTTGTTGGTGTCCGGCAAACCAGGCAACATCGCCCCACGCTCTTCCAGCCCACGCTCGCCTCCGTTGGCCGGGATTCCGAGAGAAAATCCCCATGGGGGAAGCTTCTCGCGGCAGAGCGGCCGTTTTGGACCGAGAATGCTAGGGACTAGGGATTTTTATTGATAATAGTGGTTAATAATTGTTAATAATGATTAATATCAATTAATAGTTAAGAATGGTTGGTCAATCATGCTTAAAATTAGGGATAATGTGTCAAAAACCGCTAAAAATTAGATTTCGGTTGGTGGTTTGGATTTTTTTCCCAGATATTGGGAATGTCATCATCCCTTTTGACTCATATTGATCAGAGGGGTATGTAGGCTCAACCACCAAGCAGTTATGAGAAGACCCACCAATTCCATGGGTGAATCCTTTCCCTCGACGATGAGATCCCTGGAATCTAATTGGCATGGGCTTGGGGGTTAAACTGGAAGATATACATGGCTTGTGTATAGAAAGACAAAGGAAACAAGAAATACTTAAAATCTCTATCATTACCATGTGTATCATAAGGTATCATATTGTATCATGAATATGATACAATTATATACATGTATCATATATAAATCATCAACATTATCAACAACTATATGATACATTGTATTATAACCTGGTTGGTGGTTTGGAACATGTTTTATTTTTCCATTCAGTTGGGAATGTCATAATCCCAACTGACGATCATATTCTTCAGAGGGGTAGGTCAACCACGAAACAGTAACATATTGACGTGTCAATTGATTACATTGTATTAAAAACAAATTGTATATTATTGTATTATATAACATTGTATTATATATTATTACAAATATAACATTGTATTATTATAACATTGTATTTTTATAGTATATAACATTGTATTATCAAATATCAAAACATTACCTTATTACAATTTGATTCGTGTCGATTCCCCCTGGCGTCAGTCAGCAAGGGCCCACTACTTCCTCTGCCATCGGCCATGCTGGAAATCTTCACGACTCTTGGCAGAAAAAAAATGGCGAACGGACAGAGACCGAAGGGTTCGGTCACTGGATTCTTTGTTTAGCTACAATGTGAGGCCCCCCAGTTATAAGTTGGTTTATAAGCCCCAGTAACTATAGTTATAAGTACCATAAACCATAGTTATTGGAGTTATAAACCAACTTAGCTATCTTGGGGGCCTCACATTGTAGCAATGGAGGAATATGATGGAATATGGAGAGTACCCTCTGGTAAACTAGCGAACCAACATAAGTATTGGGTTAAACTAATATAACTGTAGCATAACTATGGAAAGATCCATCGTTTTTAATGGGTAAATCAACTATTTCTATGGCCATGTTCAATAGCTATGTATAGCTTTGTTAGTTTACCAGAGGGTATTCTTTTTGAAGAGGTATCTAGTTAATAGATGTGTCTAAGGATTCTGCAACTGATTGCACATTTTTTTGGTGTCCCGCTGATCTCACCGTTCCGATCTGCAAGGGTGTCCCCCCATGATATATCCCTGCTACCCTTGTGGTGACTTGTTCCTCTACCCTCATGGTTCCTTGCCATTGGAAAGTGATTTAATGGTATTTTATGGTGATTAATAGGTATTGAACCAAGAAAAATGGGGATATTAATGGGACATACTCTCTGGTAATTTGTTGCATAGCTATTGAAAATGGCCCATTTATAGTTGATTTACCTATTCAAGATGATGATTTTCCAGTTCGCTATGTTAGTTTACCAGAGGGTATCTCCCTGGGGACCTTTACATGACAAGCTAATTGAGTCGTTGAAAATACCATTATTCCATCTCATTCTACTGCTTGGTTGAATGCTTTCCCTACTAATGGTTATAATAATCCCCAATAACCCAGGTAGCATAATTCCCTCGGATAATCATTCAAGCAAGGTACTTTTTATAGCACGGTGAATCAATTCGACATGTGTTTTGTACGTTCCATCCCTGACATGATGATCCTTAATTGACGTGTATGGGGTGAACTGATCAATTTGGAGAACCACCAACAGATATCTGATATCTCCCACTGAGAGTATCACTAATCAAAAACCTCAACCCACCAATCAATCAGTCAATCAGACAGTCAATATACACATATACATATATATATGTAACATATATATATATATGTATCATGTATATCATATATATATATATCATTTATAATATATATATAATATATCATATATACGTCCTGTATTAATTAATGCGGATACCTGTAGAACACAATGAGTCTGAAGCTTGAGGCCCGCCTTTCTGGCGTGTTTACTTCCTGCGGGCGGTCGCCTGGTGCGGCAGCCCAGCATAGGGTTTCTAATAATGATATGGGATTATGGATCAATACCTATTAATACCATTTTTAGTGGGATGAACATCCATTTACCAGCTATTTTGATGTTCACCAGGGGTACAAGGTTTTGACACACTGCCCTATGGGATTATGGATCATCCATATCTATGATTAATGGGATTGATTATTCTGGTGATATGGATTCATAGTGATTCACCTTAGATTTTGATACGTTTTTTTAAAAGGTGAGTAGGGAGTCTATGGTGGGGATTTTGCCGGAACAGAAATATGGAGATTCATGAATGGAGCGACTTTCTGCTAATTTAAGTGTCAGTTGGCGAAGCTAAGCATGTTGAAGTGCGAGTCATCATCGAACTAAATGGGCCATTTTCCACAGCTATTGTTAGTTTACTGGAGGCAATAAAACTTCACATATTCTGGGGTACCTCCATAATCACCATTGTCGCTATTGAAAAGTTGCCATTTGGATCCATGTGGTGGTTAATCTCCCATTTTAAGACCTATATCGTCCATATGTTTGACCAATTGGCAGAACTCTTTTTGACAAAGGAGCAGCCTCCCTTCGACCTCACATGAACAATTTGGGTTGGTGAATGCAAGCATCCAAAAAGATGGCAATTTTTCCAAAAAAAAGGAAATGTTGAATGGTGGTTTTACCAGCTTAGTTGAAATTGTTCTACATGTTTTTGTTCCATTATGCAATGAATATATATATATAAATATAAATAACATGGCCCAACACGTGCTTCATGAGATTCAGAAATCATTCAGCCAGTTTTCAAGATGATGAGACGACCGTCCCCCAGGAAACTCCTTGATCCATATGAATATCACTAGCAATCAACCGTGGCTGGCTGGGATTTTCTGAACGAAGGAAATGGCGGTTTATAGCTCGGAAAACAAAAATGCAAATGGTGGATTTATGTCATTGCCATGTTTGTTTGCCGCAGGGTACTGGTAAAGCAGACATCACCAGTGCTGCTGAATCTTTGAAAAGCCGGATAACAGCACTTGGAACCGTAATGTGGCCATGAGGCCCGAGGCCCGAAAACGTGACGTTTTTTTTTGACGTTCACCGGTTCACCGTGACAGGATGGCATGGTTTATGAAAACCTGATGAATTCTGGTGAAATTACCATGGGGAAGACTCATCCATTACCATCAAAATTAAGGCAGGCAGCAATTGATGATCTACATAGGATCTGTACATAATCATCACTCATTAGCCTCTGGTTATGACATTCACAGTTTGCAAACTGGAGAGATCCACCATGCTATTACTGTAATAGGTAAACCATCTCTGAATCGATTAGGGCCATTTCCCATGGCTATGTTAGTCATAACCAGATGGTAATCATCATATATCATGAAAATAGATTATCTGCATTGCATTATACATTGTTTTTTTGCACCTCTTGATGTCGAAAAATGATGAAGCCAGGGATGAAAAAAATCATGACGTGATGCCGTCTACACTGAGGTAGTGGCGTCAAGGACTCGGAACATGCTGGGGGTCCTAGTCCTAGTGGAGCCCATGGTGCCTCGTGGGTAAAACTGCCTGTCATTTTGACCATCCCAGAGTCGTCACCATAAATGTTGGAGCCCTACTAAGGTTACAGTAATGTGGTTTTTTTTATGAGTAAAACTGGCTGCCATTAAGAAAAAACATGACTTGGAATGGTAAACATAGCACCTATAAAAATGCTGATGACTAAATGGTCAAAATGACAGGCAGTTTTACAGTTTTACCCACATGATTCTTCTGGGTTAAGCCTATAGCAGGGCTCCCTTGGTCTGTCTGTCACTTGGATCCGCTCTTTTTTGAGTTCGATCTGGTCATCCCATGGCTTCTCCGGTCCCGTCGATGGCCTGGTTTTGGACACACCCAGGACTGTGCATTGGACTGTTCATCCACCAAGGAGAAGGAATTCCCATCCACACTAATGGTGAATTCTTTCAGTTTTTTCTGAATGATGAATTCATCCAGAATCATGATGCTGGTTTCATCCGGCCACCAGGCATGAAACATGAAGGAATCCCACCAGCCATGTTTGTTGCCTATCCCAATGTCGATTTGCTAAAGATGATGTGTGGTCGTGGAATACTCCCACGGGTAAATCCATCATTTGGGGAACCCAATTCCCGCGAGTATGTTCTGATTGTGGACCATGGAACAAAAATCCCAGATGTTTCATCACTGTGCTGCCCTTTTTCCACCACGAAACGCAGGTTGAGTACTTTCGACTGGAACAAGGGTGAAGGACTATTGGCAAGTCGTCAGGCGACGGTTCTGCGCGTGTGTTTTTTGTGGATGCTTTGGATCCATTTCCTCATGGGGTACTTCTGATTACCAGACTTTGCTAAGCAGTTCCTAACTGTAGAATGACCCTCCAAAACCATGGCGGCACATTCGAAATTGTGAAATCCCATGAAAAGCCACGAAATTCTGAAGATTCATGGGAAATAATATGGGAAAGTCATCTTGAAACAGGGGCTCTCCGTTGCCAGATACATACTGTGTTATTTTTTGTAGGCGGGAGAGATTCAAGTGCTGGCACTTTGCGTTAGTTCGCGATTATTGTCAGCCATCATATTTAACACTTGTTCGAGGATTTACCCTGGGGTAAACTAACATAGATGTGGAACAACCAGGGTTTTCCTGGCAAAATGCTCTACACATGCTGTGTTTTCTATATCAAATATGATCTAATTATGTCAGTTTACAGTAGGGTAACAAGACAAATGATGTAGTAAAGCCAAAACCAGACCCATTTTATCCCAAGTTTATGATATTTTATGATGTTGGAGACTGACATAGGCATCCACCAGTGCCACGCTGGTGATGCCCGGGGCTTGCTCTATGTGGCGCATCTCAAATCAGCTGGGGATATGCCATTGGTGTCAACTTAGCGGGATGCAGTCCCAAGTTATATGACAACAACATCCAATCTTATTTGATGTTGCTCATTCAAATTGCAAGTTATCAGAAAACAGTAATAGAAATTGACTAATTCACATTACTCTAACCCGATCCCCCTAATATTAAACACACCATTCTATGGTCCCAATGTGATTTCATCCCTTACTAAACCAGGTTTTCTGGGGCGTGTTTGATAAGGTATACCGAGACCCTCCAATACCCCCAAAGAAAATGGTAAAAGCACTAGAAATGATGGGGTAAAGCACATTCTTCACGAGTACAACTGGAGGGTCTAGGTTCAAATCCCCATCACAATAAAACGTTACATGAAATCCCATTAATCACCATCAAGTCCCATTGAATCACCATTAAACTCCCATTTTCTATGGGTACCTACTTGGTGGCTCATCCCACTTAGTAAGTGGGTTATAACATGTTATAACCGAAGTTATAAATGGGATAAGTAGGGTTAATCCACTTATAACTGGGGTTATAACCCGCTTACTAAGTGGGATGAGCCACCAAGTATCCCCATATTTATAGTTACTTCAATGCCCTGTGGGCTTTCAATGGCTTTCAATTCGCAGGTCTTGGCTGCGCCTGCCCAAGGGGAGAACGCGCTCAGGACAGCGCGTAACTTGGAGTTGGTATATTTAGGATCTTCTCCTGCAAAATATGGCAGTGTGTCAAAACCTTGTACCCCTGGTGAACATCAAAATAGCTGGTAAATGGATGTTCATCTCCCTAAAAATGGTGTTAATAGGTATTGATCCATAGCCATATGAGCGTTGAAATGGACATGTTATGGCATGTTAATATATGTTAATTGGAGTATCAGCATTTTCAGACAAGCCCATATACCGGTTGGTAAACTGAGCTTGCGGATGGCTGCGACGTCCTGCACCTTGGATGGTGAAACATGTTGAAAGCCTTTCATTAATGGGATAAACCACAATTAAAAACTGGTGCAGGATTTCGCTGGCCCATCCACTGTATGTAATGTGTTCAAAGCAGCAAAAACATGGAGTTTTCCCATGGATTTTAACAAGTTGAACCAGAAATACTTGGGATGCAATTGGATGAAACCTAGAAAAAATGGCGCTTAGCATCCTTTCGCCAAAGGATGGGATTGCAATTTTCACCAACAAAGATGGGACTGGATCATGTGGTGAACCCAGAAATCACAGCATTTTGGTACCTTCTGGGTCTTGTCCAAAGACAACAATTAATTGCAACAAAAGCCACCCCCTGTGCAGTCACAATCATTACCATCTACAACCGAAATCCTGTAAAGATGGGGTGTCTGGAACCCCCTTGATTGGACTATAGAGAACAGTCGAAGGCTGGGACTGGGACTGGTTCATTGGGGGCACCCCTAGTGAGATGTCAGTTTTACCATGATCACATCCATTTGGGAAGTTGTGATTCATCAATCCACACTCGGAAGTTGGTGAAAGCAGCATGTCAAAGCTCTCAGTTTGGTTCAACGATGCCATAGTGTTGCGAAATGCTGCAGCAGTGGGGAACTATGGTCAACATCTCATTATATATTATAGTTGACCAAGTTATAGTAACTTTATTATGAAACTATGTAACTATATTGTAATCCCATGATAGTCCCAGTGTCTCATAGATCTCATATGTTACCTTCATAGTTCCCAGTTGTTGTGCCAGGGTTAATATATTCAGCAATTGCATGACAGGATGACGACCACGTTGCTGCAGACACCGCCCATGCAGCCCATCTCGTGGCTTGGTGGTTTCGGATTTCGCTAAAGCATCCACCATCATCCACAGTAAAAGGCAAAATATGGGGAAGAAATTTGGGAAGACATAGTGTTAATATGTGGCAATAAAGTTCGGATTTCTGACGGCAAGATAGAGATCGGATTTCTGTGGATGTTCTCTTCCCATGATTCTTTTTTTCATGGCAGTTCGGTGATGTTTGATATCACCATTCAGCAGGACTGGCATATTTTGGGGGGTCTGAAACATCAAAACAAAGACTGTGGGGAGGTTAAAGATCACCTATCTCATAGATGTTGGGAGTGATTTCCCCAAAAACATGCTTAAGCTGAAAGGTTGATGCTGACATGGCACATATGATTTACGTTGTTATCATTGTTTCGCAAGCCCTGTTTGGTAACATTTGGTAACGGAACAGTGGGACTATGTGTTGTGATTATGATGGGATGTTTACCATTAACCAATGCGACGGAGTTCGCCAGCCCTTCTTTGACGCGGCCCATGATGGTGTACTCCTCGGTCGGAAGTTGGCATCCAACGTGACCCTGCCAATTTGGAGCTTGGAAGATGTGAAACTGATCGAGTTTCTCCATATATCTCCATATCAGGGTTGCTTGGAAACTGCTTGGAAACTACGAAATGGCCACTGGGATCGACTCGGTGAGTTCAGATAAGAGATCTTCCAATGAAACAATAGGAGAAATATGGAGAGTTGGAAGCAACTTTTAGGAGGTTGATGGAGGTTGTTAGTTGGGCATTCATTGCTGTTGTTGAACTACCAATTGTTGCCATTGTTGCCCCCCACAGAAATCCCTAAAGGAAAGAACTGGATGCGCGGTTCTGCGCTGATTTTCTACTGATTTTTCCCACCAATCCATCGAGGCCCACACCCTTGGTCGAGGCCAGGGCCGGGAGGGACCCGCTGACCCTGGATATCCCTGCGGAAACGACTTCTGAAACAAATGACCAGTTTGAGTGGCAAATGTTAAGCTTCCAGCTGCTTCCAACAACATCAGTTTCTTGAGGTTTTCCGGTTGGCATGTTTTCAGATTCAAATATTTTGAAGCAGATGAAGTACCATCTGGTTATTTAACATAGCCATGGAAAGATCCACTATGTTCAAATAGGTAAACAGGTAAGCCTCTATTTCTATGGGCCATTTCCCATGGTTATGTTAAATAGCCTGAGGGTACCATTCATTTTTAGGGGGATATGGTAGAAGCCCTGGTTGGGTCGTACACATGGGACCGTTACTAGTCCTGCCACCACCAAATGGAGGTGTCTGAGAATGGGGTCTACCCGCAGTTATGGCTGTTTGAATGGGGAAAGTGATGATAATCCCAATAGATTGAGAGGGCTACACCATTTTCAGGCAAACCCAAATGTAGAATTGCATGTGTAATATCAATATGCATGACAAGTATTGACAAGTATATATACTTTCCGACAGTGGCTGGTTTGTTTGTATCTTTCCGGAACATCGAAAAAGAAGTCGTTCTGTAATCAGGCATTTATTCAGATGGCCCATCTAAAAGTGCATGTGTAGTTTTTCAAGAACTTTGGGTCCATTGGCAGAATGCATGTTTTTTTCTTTGCGGATGGTGTGCAGGCATCACCCGAAGCATCACCCTCGGCGGCTGGAGGCTTGGGTTTGTTCGGCAGATCCACAGTAGTTGGGTAATCATCAAATACTACGTAGATAATACGTAGTAACAATGTAAAGCAACAATGATAACAATAACGCTAATCATAGATGCATTTTATACAAACATAGTGACATCAACCATTGATCATTAATGAATGATGAATATCACATTTTAGATATTAATATCAATGGTGCAATGATCAATTGTGGAATATTTATATTAACCACTATTAACCATTATCCAGCATATTAACCACTATTAACCATTAATAGCACTATTAACCAATAATGATATATTTTCTGATAACAATAAAACATAGATGCATAGTGACATAGTGACATTAACCACTATTAACCATTATAAACCACTAATATTCCTTAATCATAATGGTTAACCACTACCCATAGGATCCATGTATGGTATATATGCTAACATTGGGGGTATATTGATGGTAAATGTTACCATATATGATCCTATGGCATATTAACCGCTATTATTAACCACTATATCCTTGCGATTAAACCACTATTAACCACTATTATATTCATTGCTTCATCCCTTCTCCGAAGGTGAGGTCCACCCGATCGCCAGAGCTGCCTCGTTGGGAGCTGAGAGATTTCGCCAGCTGGATCCATGGAACTTGGATTTCGGCCAGGAGTGGAGCTACCCCAAAATGGGATGGTTTATAAGGGTTTATAATGGTTTATATGGGTTTATCATGGTTTCTCATGGTTTAGAATGGTTTACCACCGTTTATAATTGTTTATCATGGTTTATAAGGCTTCAAAATAGTTTTTCACGGTTTATATTGGTTTACCATGGTTTCTCATGGTTTATCATGATTTTTAAGGATTTATCATGGTTTATAATGGTTTGTAAGGGTTGATCATGGTTTATAATGGTTTATCATGGTTTATAAGGGTTTATCTTGTTTTTTTTATCATCGTTTATAATTACTGGTTTATCATGGTTTATAAGGGTTTATAATGGTTTATATGGGTTTATCATGGTTTCTCATGGTTTAGAATGGTTTACCACCGTTTATAATTGTTTATCATGGTTTATAAGGCTTCAAAATGGTTTTTCACGGTTTATATTGGTTTACCATGGTTTCTCATGGTTTATCATGATTTTTAAGGATTTATCATGGTTTATAATGGTTTGTAAGGGTTGATCATGGTTTATAATGGTTTATCATGGTTTATAAGGGTTTATCTTGTTTTTTTTTATCATCGTTTATAATTACTGGTTTATCATGGTTTATAAGGGTTTATAATGGTTTATATGGGTTTATCATGGTTTCTCATGGTTTAGAATGGTTTACCACCGTTTATAATTGTTTATCATGGTTTATAAGGCTTCAAAATGGTTTTTCACGGTTTATATTGGTTTACCATGGTTTCTCATGGTTTATCATGATTTTTAAGGATTTATCATGGTTTATAATGGTTTGTAAGGGTTGATCATGGTTTATAATGGTTTATCATGGTTTATAAGGGTTTATCTTGTTTTTTTATCATCGTTTATAATTACTGGTTTATCATGGTTTATAAGGGTTTATAATGGTTTATATGGGTTTATCATGGTTTCTCATGGTTTAGAATGGTTTACCACCGTTTATAATTGTTTATCATGGTTTATAAGGCTTCAAAATGGTTTTTCACGGTTTATATTGGTTTACCATGGTTTCTCATGGTTTATCATGATTTTTAAGGATTTATCATGGTTTATAATGGTTTGTAAGGGTTGATCATGGTTTATAATGGTTTATCATGGTTTATAAGGGTTTATCTTGTTTTTTTTTATCATCGTTTATAATTACTGGTTTATCATGGTTTATAAGGGTTTATAATGGTTTATATGGGTTTATCATGGTTTCTCATGGTTTAGAATGGTTTACCACCGTTTATAATTGTTTATCATGGTTTATAAGGCTTCAAAATGGTTTTTCACGGTTTATATTGGTTTACCATGGTTTCTCATGGTTTATCATGGTTTATAAGGGTTTATCTTGGTTTTTTTATCATCGTTTATAATTACTGGTTTATCATGGTTTATAAGGGTTTATCATGGTTTATAAGGGTTTATCGTTTATAATGGTTTATAAGGGTTTATAAGTGTAAATCAGTGTTTATAATGGTGTAAAAGGGTTTATCATGGTTTATAGTGGTTTAAAGGGTTTATCATGGTTTATAGGGGTGTCTCATGGTTTATAAGGGTTTATAATTGTTTATCATGGTTTATAATGGTTTATACGGGCTTATAAGGCTTTATATATAATGGATTATAAGGGTTTATAGGGGTAAATCATTGTTCAATGTTTTATCATGGTTTATAATGGTTTATCATGGTTTATAAGGGTTTATAGGGGTTTATATGGGTTTATCATGGTTTCTCATTGTTTATAATGGTTTATCAACGTTTATAATTGTTTATCATGGTTTATAAGGCTTCAAAATGGTTTTTCATGGTTTATATTGGTTTACCATGGTTTCTCATGGTTTATCATGATTTATAAGGATTTATCATGGTTTATAATGGTTTGTAAGGGTTGATCATGGTTTATAATGGTTTATAAGGGTTTATCTTGTTTTTTTTAATCATCGTTTATAATTACTGGTTTATCATGGTTTATAAGGGTTTGTCATGGTTTATAATGGTTTATAAGGGCTTGTCATGGTTTATAATGGTGTATCATGGTTTATAAGGGTTTATTATGGTTAATAAGGGTTTATCATGGTTTATCATGGTTTATACAGGTTTATATCATGCTTATAAGGGTTTATCATGGTTTTTAAGGGTTTATCATTGTTTATAATGGTTTATCAAAGTTTACCACTCTTTATCATTGATTTTAAGGGTCTATAAACTCGACTTGTACATACATGCCGTAGCTTCGAGCTGCTCAAGACGTATAGTATAGTAGTATTCGTAGTGTAGAGTGTTGAAAAGCGTTGTGCTTGTCTGTACTGCTCGCACTAGTCAGTTTTTGAGTTGGTAGCGGAGCTCCCTGTGTTCGTCCAGGTTGAGCGATGCTGCTGCTCAAGCTGTGTGCCCTGTGTCTCGCCACAGAAGCAGCAGCCGGGAGTGTTGCCTCCCCAGCGAGTTTCGTCTCGCATGGTGTGAACGAGAGTATCGCCTCTCAGGTGAACGAGAGTGTCGTCTCTGGCAATGTGATGGAGAGTGTTGTCTCCTTGGGTCTCCAAAACCTAACTTTTTAAACTTTCAAGGATGTGCTGGTTTTGGCTCTGCGGAAGAGTTCAAATCAGGTTGTTTATGGTGGTTGCGTGGAAAAGCAATGGTTTGGCGTTCGGAAAATGATCTACATTCATGGCAGGCCTTCCACAGCGAACTGTTAGTTTACAGGAGGGTAAGAACTCATTTTAGATGGGAAATTCACCAGCATACGCCAGCATAGAACTGAATGCTGCGTGATTCAAATGATTCAACCACCTAAATTGTTATGGGTTTTGTTCAGTTTCAGATACATTTTCACACATGGCATTGCAGCTGCGGCGCTGTGCAGCAGCTGCGGCGATCTGCGGCGGCGGCCGCTACGGCGCTTGGCAGTGTCGGCGTGGATGGCCTGCCTCAGAAGTGGAGGCATGAACCCATGATCCGTATCCATTATCATGGCAACATTAAATTCTTCGAGAGGGGGGAGGGGCGGCAGGGTGGGCCATCAAATCACCACGACATCTTCAGGACCATGCGCAGATGGAAACTCGGCGCATTAGCGCGCAAACTCAAAATCATTTTTTGGGCCAAAGACAAGACGACTGTGGCTTGCATGCGCGTACTGCGCGGGTACCCGAACTATATGTTCACGAACCTCTACATGATGATGGTGATGATGATGATGATGATGATGTTGATGATGATGTGCAGCACAGAAAAGTTTGCAAAGGCTTTGGAAAAGTGCCCTTGCCATAGGTGTTGGTACCTTTTGAACTCAGTTGTGTTTTAACCGTAGCTACTGTGATGTTGTATCTTTGACTTGGCCCTTGGGTCTTTGAGGTGTGAAGCCAAAACTTGTGAACACAGGTCTCGAAAAATCGACTGCATCCTTGATTCCTTTGATGGGCACCCGTCGCAATTCTTCTGCAAGGCTATGATTTATCAAAATGTCTGGCATAACAAACTCCGGCAGATGTCACTGACAAAGGCCAAAACGGTGTTTAAGAGTCTGTTCGCTTTGAAACCCAAGTGTCCACGCGTCAAAGACGCGGAGAACAAGTGGAAGGGGAAGATGCTTGGTTTGATCCTTTAATCGTTTTGCCATGTTTTTGTTCTGGGTTTTGGACCTTTACACACTTTCCAGGTACATTGTCCACCATATTTGTTATTGTATTGAGTGTTTAAGTTCCACAGCCGGGGTATGTTGCTACACATCCTGCTAACCAGCTTTCATTTCCAGTTCGCGCCGTGCAGGAAACAAATCTTCAGTGAACTGAAACAAGTGAAGGGAATGAAAAGCTTCGGCGCCGTGAATTTCTGGCGCTACTGGCGGCTTTTGACAGTGTATCCCAGCACACCCGACATGCAATACACAGAAGTCGGGCCGGGCACAAAGAGAGGGCTCAACATTATGTGACGTGACTTGATGCTTTTGCGAGCGCATTTCCTCATGGTGCCAGTCAACAGTGTCTGTGCAATGTATCGCTATACTTGTTTGCGCGTGTGATGATCTCCCAACCTTGTTTGTTAATAATTTTGTAACTAGAGCGTCTTTACAAGGATGTCCCTACAAGAGTGCCAGGGTGTCTGAAGCAGCGTTGCGTTTTCTCCTCCACATTTTTTTTTGTATGCCAACGCTCAGGTTTCAGGATCCTATCCAATTTTGCAATTCAAATCAGAGCTCGGAATGCATGGAGCATTAACTTTACTGTGAAACTCCACAAAATGGGACACCATGTAAATTCAATTCCCATTCTGTCTCACAATGCGGCGGATTCTGCTGCTGTCTCCTCGGCAAAGCAAGAGGTGAAAGAACAGTTGAAATGGCTAGAAGGTAAAGCATTCGGTGCTTGTGAATAGCAGAAAGCGATCGCTTACATGCACACGGAGCCTTTTCAGTTTTTCAGTACGAGCGGGGCCAGCGGTAGAAAAATGCGATGGTCCGATGCATACAGGCTTTAGAGATATAGATTTTTAAGGTAGAAAATAGAAAAAAGGGAACAAATTTTAAGTTAGCAGAAAGAAGACCAGAGAAGAAAAAGTCAGACGAAAGTTGAAGGAGGATTCAAGCGCTGAACTGTGGGAGAAGTCGCGATACCATGTGTTTTTCGATGTTTGGTGGCTCCGGAGGATGGTTTATAAGGGTTTATCATAGTTTGTAATGGTTGATCATGATCTATAAGGGTTTATAATGGTTTATTATGGTTTATCATGGTTTATAAGGGTTTGTAATGGTTCATCATGGTTTTTAAAGGTTTTTAAGGGTTTGTATGGTTTAAAAGGGTTAATCACGGTTTATAATGGTTTATCATGGTTTATAATGTTGTTTAAGGGTTTATCATTGTTTATCAGGGTTTATAATGGTTTATCATGGTTTAGAAGGGCTTATCATAGTTTATCATCGTTTAGAATGGGTTATCATTTTTAAGGGTTTATAATGGTTTATCACGGTTTATCACGGTTTATAATGGTTTTTAAGGGTTCATCATGGGTTTTAAAGGTTTATAATGGTTTTTAAGGCTTTATCATGGTTTATAAGGGTTTATCATTGTTTATCATGGTTTGTAAGGGTTTGTCATAGTTTATCATAGTTGAGAATGGGTTATCATGGTTTATCATCGTTTGTAATGGTTTACAAGGGTTTATCATGGCGCATAAGGGTTTATAATGGATTATAAGCCTTTATCATGGTTTAACATGGTTTATAAGGGTTTATAATGGTTTATCATGGTTTATAAGGGCTTGTCATGGTTTATATATGTTTATCATTGTTCATCATTGTTTATCATGGTTTATAATGGTTTATCACGGTTTATAACTGATTATCATGGCTTTTAAGGGTTTATAATGGTTTTTAAGGCTTTTTCATGGTTTATCATGGTTTATCATTGTTTATAAAGTTTTTTAAGGGTTCATCATTCTTTTTAAGGGTTGATAATGGTTTATCATGGTTTATAAGTGCTTGTCATGGTTTAAAACTGTTTATCATTGTTTATCACGGTTTATAACTGTTTATCATTGTTTTTAAGGGTTTATCATGGTTTATCTTTGTTTTTAAGGGTCTATCATGGTTTAGAATGGACAATCAGAAAATAAAATAGGTCATTTGGGGATACTCCCGTTTCAGTAAACATCCACATCTATATCTGGAATGTGTTACCATGTTTTACCCCATAATTTAGTATTTCAACCATGTGTGTGGGATATTTGCAGGGTCTAGGTTGTGATTGATCATCAGTAATCCGGTATTATACACTAAGCAACGTGTTGTTTCATGAAAGTCTATATGATATTTTGTGATTATAGACATGAGTGTACATAAACGTGTATATATATATATGTGTGTGTGATCTTATATGTGGTGTATATATATATATACATGGTGGTTTCCTAACAGGGGGAATCCCCAAGTCACCATGGGTTTCAATACTAAGTCATGGTCCTAATGACTTGGATGATTTCGGGTTACGCCAATTTTAGGAAACCTCCATGTATGTGTATATATATATACCCTCTGGTTATTTGACAAAGCCATGGAAAATGGTCCATCTATAGATGGTTTAGCTATAAAAAATGGTGATTTTCCATGGCTATGTTAAATAACCAGAGGGTATATATATATATATATATGTATTATTGGGGAATATAGACAGATTAAAATCCTAGCTTTGGGGTTGAACATGGATCAAGCGTCCATCATACGTCCATCTCATGGTTGTTTGCCTTTGAAAGACCAGTGTGTTTCTTTTCCAGCCTCCGAATGTGGTAAACCCAACGCCATCAGCATCCGATCGATGGTGTATCCCAGCCATTTCTCCAAGATGTGCAGAATTCAGAGCTGTTTGGCCGTGGCAGATTCTGCAATCCCCTTGCAATTTCAATGAGGAAAATGATGATTAAACACATTTGGGGGCACCCTATTTTCAGTCAAAGCCATATGGTTTTCTACCTAGCACAGCACACCTGTGGGAGTGGAGTACTGGTAGGAGTCAGCTGGCGGTTGGGAGTTTCAGTGACAGACGGTGCAAAGTTCCTGTGTCCAATGATCGATGATTGATGTGAACAGTTCTGCATCTAGGATTTGGACCGATCCTTCAGGGCTTCGTTGAAAAAATATGGTTTGTTTTAATCAGGCTTATCTCATTTCATATCATTGCAGCTAGCGATCGATCCATCCATCTATTTATCTAATCTAAAGCCAAATCTAGATCTAAATCTTATATTAGCTTATCTTATCTACCTACCTACCTATCTAACTACCTGTCTACCTATCTACCTATCTACTTATCTACCTATCTACCTATCTACATATCTACTTATCTACCTATCTACCTACTTATCTACCTATCTATCTATCTGATCTATCTATCTATCTATCTATCTATCTACCTATCTATCTATCTATCTATCTATCGATCTATCTATCTACCTATCTATCTATCTATCTATCGATCTATCTATCTATCTATCTATCTATCTATCTATATCTTATCTATCTTATCTATCTAGCTATCTATCTATCTAATCTATCTATCTTATCTTATCTTATCTTGCCTTATCTTATCTTATCTTATCCATGTATCTATGTATCTATGTATGTATGTATCTATCTATCTGTCTATCTATCTATCTATCTATCTATCTATCTAATCTACCTAATCTACCTAATCTTTCTAATCTTTCTAATCTATCTAATCTATCTAATCTATCTAATCTATCGAATCTATCGAATCTATCTAATCTATCTAATCTATCTAATCTATCTAATCTATCTAATCTATCTAATCTATCTAATCTATCTATCTATCTATCTATCAGTCAATCAATCAATCAATCTATCTATCTATCTATCTATCTATCTTTCTTTGGACATATACATATACTCACACAGACCAACTTCCAATTTTCCCAATCCCTGAGGCCACCCCCCTTTGAGCTGGATGAAGCTGCCGAAGAAGGTGCGGTCGACGGATGAATCCGTTCGTTCGATGGCTTAATTTATGGTTGATGTTGTTTGGCTGAGGAAATGGTGGATGTATAGCTGGTTGGTGGTTTCAAACATGTTTTATTTTCCATAATATATGGGATAATCCTTCCCATCAACTAATATGTTTCAAGATGGTTAAAACCACCAACCAGATAGGATATTGTGGGACTATACTATACTCATTTATGAAGTTTATGAACCTGAATCCTCCATGAATTCCCCATATTTGTCCTGAACTCATCCAACTATGGTTAATCCACCATTGTTATTAAACAACCAATGAATCCAAAGTGTCCAAACATGAAGCGAACTCTTGTGATTCGTTTTATTTGGTCAGTGGCAGAATGGGTTCAGTGTTTGAAATGGAGGAATATTCGATATCCAACTCAAACTTGACTGTTCCAGAGGGGTGCTAAGGCTTGCCAAGGTTGTAACTTCATTGGAGCGGTATATAACCAATTTCCAATGCAAGGGACCGTTTTTTTCTGGGAGGGACCCTGGTGAAGACATCGAAATGTGGCTCCAGCAATCTGAAATGACAATGGGAATCCCGAAATTTCACAGGGACACCATTTGCATAGGATTTTCCAATTGCCAGGCTGAATTGAAGAAGGGTACGCTGGGAGATTGGTCATAGGGCCCGAACATCCGCTTCTAGACTTACTCTCAGAACATGTTGTTTAGAAAACATGTATAGAAGAGATGGAGAGCTCATAGACCACCCAGAGTTGAGGAGACGTACCTTCGCGGTTTGGTAGTTGTTCAAGTCTGGCAATTACAAAAAAAATCGCTGAGCAGCGTTCAAAACCCGTCTTGGTTGATTATGATTTATGCTGTGGGGAAATATACCACCCAATACATTGGGGATCATCAAAATCCATTCATTGTGGGATGATTGGATCATCAGTACCTGAGCTGGCTTATCCAGTGAGGAAGGGAGGAAGGGTTCTTGCTTTCATTGATTTTTCGCTTGCAATCACAATGTTTACGGACTTGTTTGCCACCATTGCTACTTCAAAAATAGAGTTGTTGCACACCTTGTAGCCTTTTCGCTGTATTGTGTATAGCTTTTCCCCAATCCCAGATTCGTCCTCCCTGCTCTTCGTTGCAGAAAACCAGGTCACGTGGAAATGGAGTTGGTGGTACATTGGGGATCATCAAAATCCATTCATTGTGGGATGATTGGATCATCAGTACCTGAGCTGGCTTATCCAGTGAGGAAGGGAGGAAGGGTTCTTGCTTTCATTGATTTTTCGCTTGCAATCACAATGTTTACGGACTTGTTTGCCACCATTGCTACTTCAAAAATAGAGTTGTTGCACACCTTGTAGCCTTTTCGCTGTATTGTGTATAGCTTTTCCCCAATCCCAGATTCGTCCTCCCTGCTCTTCGTTGCAGAAAACCAGGTCACGTGGAAATGGAGTTGGTGGTCCAGGCAGGGATTGGGATCACAAGGATGGAGTGGGTGAAAGTCACATTGCACACTTTTATTGGAAACTTAGAAAATGAGCACATAGTTGGGTTATATATGTTATAGGGTTGCATTATTTCCCAATATGTCTTTTTCAGAGAATGGAGTACTCCAAAATTTCAGGGTTTACTGGTGCGTTTTACGTAGGGTTGCTGGATGGGTTGCTGGGGGTTTGCTGGGATGATTATTGCCACTTAGCCAGTGGATGATTCCCTCAAATTCCCTACGTTTAGCACAAGTTCCCCCTCATGGTCCCATTCTTTGGCCACAAAAATGTAGGTATCCCCTGCCATCCTCCGGGCAGTGCCCAGGGACCCCAGGGACCCCAGGGACCCCAGGGACCCGGTGACATGTCCTTCCGAGGACAACACAGACACGTCCGGAGGAGCGCAGCCTCCGTGGGATGACGCGGGATGATTGCAGCAAGATGGCCATATTAAATGGCCATATTAATGGCCATATTAATGGCCATATTTCATAGAATTGGATGATGGGAAAATTTACAGGAAAGACCTATATTTGATGGTAAAAACCATGGTTTCCTGTAGATTTTCCCTTAAACCAATCCATTGAATATTCTTCAAGGCATATACGAAAAATGACCATATTTCAAGGCACGAAAAAGAGGCAACCCATAGGTCGACGCTAGTACCAGCATGGTACCCTAGGAGTGCCAAAGACATTGAGATCTGAGTTTCAGGATGGTAATGACCTGGTAGTGAAACACAAATCTATGACTGAAAAATTCCAACCCCATGACTGATTCCTGGTGGAAATCATCCCCTAAATGGCTTTGCCTGAAAATATGATACTGGTACTACCAGGTACCAAAAAATCAGATGGCTTAAACATGCTTAAAAGCATCTTGAAACCTCATTTTCCCTAGTCAAATAGCTATCATTGTCAGAAGTTGTGAGCTAGAGACTGGAGGCAATAAAACCAAACTGTTTTTTTGATTTAATCATCATTTAATTAATACTATTTGATCATCATTCTGGAACCTCACAAAATCCCAAAAGCACTCATCCAATCTTCATGCTGGAGCCTCATAATCTTCATTCCTCATTTAATCTTCATGTAGGGAGAAAAGGAGGATTTTCGAGGGTTAAAGAAGAAAATGCTGTTTTCCAGATTGTTTGAGGATTTGGCGGCCAAATTTCGCAAAGTCCGCTTTTAAGCAGGAGGTTTGCGAATCAGGAATCTGTATAGGGATGCAAGCTTTTTCAAAGGCTGAATCCATGTTTAAGAGATTCATATTGTTTTGATCCAACATGTATGCAGTGCAGGTGTGATTTTGGAACCCCTACAGCTCAGTGGTGCCACCAAGTCTGCAAGACACTGAAACAGTTTTCAGCGGGAAGCCTTGGAATCCTTGGAATCGTTTTTTTTCCTCTCTCAATGGATTGGTTTAGGGGAAAAATTACAGAAAAACCCCACATTTAATGGTAAAAACTGCGAATTGCATATTCCCTATTTAGCATTCATGTCATGACTTTGCAATTGTCATTTCAATCAATGGGCATTTCACCATAGCCCTTTTTCCAAGCTCAAAGATCGGTCGGAAGACCGGTGAATCCAACGTGAAGGACTTTGGAAAGAGAGTTAAAAGCGCAGGACCACTTGTCTGACCGTGGAGGACTTTGTGTGTCTAACGCAAGGAGTTTGAGGTGTGGACTAGTACCTGGCTTTTCTGGCCGCAGACGTGTCAGGACTGTCAGTGCTAGTACCCCCGATAATATTACCCGGGTGAACCTGTCGCGAACAGGTTATGAGCCCAACGCATGGGGACTCTGCTGAAATGATGCTCAGAAGAAGAAGGTCTGAGCCTGATGATGAAGAGTCAAAGAAAGACCAAACAGCGTCAAGCACCCGGGCAAGCGCGAGGAACCAAGGGGCAGAGATGGCTCTAGTGGCAGTGGATAGGGAAAGGGTTGGAAAGCCTTCACCAAATGGTCCTGTTGGGGAAGATATGAAAACCCCCTTGCCAATAGAAGACTTTCCAGCAGAACCTGTAGGATCCCCTAAGGCCCTAGGACCTAGGAACCTCCAGCCACTGTTCAATGAAGCTCAGCTAAAGAAGGCTGAGGAGCTCAGGTTGAGTGCACCACTTTTGCAGGGCCCAAGCCCCACCGCAGTAAGCCAGTCCACCGGCGGATGGGATGGGGGTTTGGCGGCAGGGAAGGTGGGAATGGGGAAGGAAGCTGACATGTCAGAGGGACCATCAAGGAAGGGTCCGGAAGTCTTGATGATGTCACCAATGGGATATCCCTTAGCACCTCAACATGGTTATGGATACGTGCCACACCACACACAACAAGGAATGTTTGATGAGATGATGTGGCAGTTTCGACAAGAAATGGGACAAATGTCAAAGTCTCTCACCCAGCTTCAAGAAGAAAATTTGAGGTTGAGGATTCAGCTTATGGAAGAACGAGAGACTAGATACACAACACCTCCCGATGTCACTCCTGCTGAAGGTCTCCGTGACAGCGCCCGCCGTCAGAAGGTTTCAGGAAAGAAGCCCAAGTCCAAAGGTGTAGAAGCCAAGCAGGAAGACTTTGAAGCTTCGAAGCCAAAGGAGGATGCAAGTCGAGGAGAACAGGAGGCTGAGACCCCCAAAGCAGAGGAGGAAGTGATTGGAAAGAAGCTTGAAGAAGTTTCTAAGGAGGATGGTCCAGCTGGACAGCAAGAGTCCAGTGAGGAGAGTCAATCGATTCAAGAAGAGGAGTCGGAAGATTCAGTGAATGTGAAAGATCACAAAGGAAGATCAAAAAAGGAGGACACCACAGTGGACGTGATGCTCAAGTTGATGCAAGGGATGCAATCGCTGCAACAACAGCTCTTGGATCGAGAGATGATCAGGGGCCGACGGCTAACAGAGGACGATGAAGAGGAGCATGTGAGGAGCAGTGTAGAGCTGCACAAACTGCCGGAGTGGACAGCTGAGAATGCTCCGGTGGACTTACAGGACTGGTTGCTTCTCATCCATGCACAGATGTCGGATCTCACTACCAGCAGTTCAGAATGGTGGGATCTAGTGGTTGAGACTGCGAAGGACTGGTACCACAAACACCAAGCCATGAAACCCATCGACAAGCTGAAGCATGAAGTCAGGGCACCACCGCAACTACAGCAGAAGAAATGGAGAAGGTTGGAGAAGAGAGGAAGCAGTTTGCTTCTTCAGGCCTTGCCCAGTAGTCAGCGTGATGACATTGTGGCAGGGAAAGACCTTTCAGTGTTGGCGATTTTGGCAAAACTCCTCAACAACTACCAGCCTGGTGGTTCCCATGAAAAAGCAGCAGTGCTGGCCGCTTTGGAGCTGCCGGCAGAAGCGGTGGGGATCGGCGAGGGCATCCTGGGACTACGTCGTTGGTTGAGATGGAAGAAAAGGGCAGAAGACATGGGCCTTCAGTTGCCCGATCCATCGGTCCTTTTGAGGGGCCTGGACCGGCTGGTCTCCAAGATTTTGGCTGGCAATCCAACCTTGCAGTTTCGCATTAACCTGACGAGGACAACACTGATGGTGGATTCTGTGCCCACTACGTCTTCCATTGACCAGTTGGCCGAATGCTTACTGGCTGAGATGGACCAGGTCTCCTATGCCAAAAAGAAGGAAAAGGCAGCCATCGCAGGAGTTCCTAAAGCTCGGAAGATGGAGGAGGCAGGAAAAAGAAGCGAAGTGCCTCAAGCCAAGAAGGGCGATGAGGATAAGAAGGAGATGCCAAAGTGTAAGTACTTCCTGACGGAGAATGGATGCCGTCGAGGAAAAGCTTGCAGATGGGATCACAACCAGAAGGATGACCAGCGTCGCTGCTGGAATTGCGGGTCCACAAAGCACTTCTCCAACAAATGTCCAGTGAGTGAGGTCCAAGGAGAAGTCAAAGTGGCCAAAGCCGAAAAAGATGGCGAAGCCAGAAAGAAGAAGAATGATGAGGAGGACAATCAGTCCGACCGAGCAGTTGCTGGAGCGGACGATATGAAGAGTCTACTGGAAGAAGCTGGAAAGATGCTGAAGGTGATTCCAGGAGCTTCGCAGGAAAGCTCATCGGTTGAGGAGACCGGTGATGCCAAAATCAGGAGACTTCAAAGACAGCTGGATGAGCTTCGAGCTTCTTCGGTGAGAGTGCTGCGATTGGCCAGGGTCCAAGCAGCTGTGGAAGATTTGGGACTCCTTGACAGCGGAGCTACCCATCCTCTTCGACCTCCAAAGAAAGATGAGGATCTGTCCAAATGTCAAAAGGTGAGGATCAATCTGGCCGGAGGAAAACAAACAATGATGATGCTTTCAGAAGGTGGTGCCATCATAGGCTCTGAGGATGTGGAGCCCATCGTGCCACTGGGAGCGTTGGTGGAGAACTTGGGTTGCTCTTTGCAATGGACCGAAGGCCATATGGTCCTGTATCACCCCTTCAAGGGGCAGATTAGCACCAAGCTCAAAGAAGGTTGCCCGATGATCAACAAGTCTGATGCTTTGGAGTTGATCGAGGAGTTGGAAAAGAAGGCACCCGAGCTGAGGAGTGTAGAAGGATCCGCAGCTGAAGCCTACATGCACTGGATGAAGCGCTTGGTAGAAGAACACCCAGCACATCAAGGAGTTCCAAAAAGAATCACAGAAAGGTTGGTGATCAGCCCTAAGGAAGGACATATCACCGGAAACCGAAGCCGAAGAAAGCTATGGAAGAAAGAAGGAGGTGTGACGTTGTACCTCTACTCAGGACCCAATGAAGGGTACACTATGGCCAAGGCCATTCAGCTTCTCGGAGGAGAAAAAAGAAAGGTCATAGCGGTGGACATCAAGAACGGAGCCAAATGGGATATGATGGAGGATGACCTCTATGCTGAGCTCATGGACATGGTCATCAAGGGCCAAGTGGAGTCCTTGGTGATGTCTCCAAATTGTCGCACTCGCTCAAAGCTCCGACACTATGAAGTTGAAGGAGTTGATCTTCCTGGACCGGTCCGAGAGTGGAACGGTGGAGAATGGGGAAAGAAGGGCATCGGAGAAAGAGAGGAGAAGAAGTGCCATGAGGATGATGTGATGCTCTTCAGAGGACTCATGCTCTACATGGTTGCCCAGGAGATCAGGAAAGCATCCCGCCACACCAAAGACATCGACCTTGTCTTTGAGCACCCCAGCACCCCGGCAAACATGCCACAGGTGGTATCGTTCTGGTCCACCCCCCAATGGCAAGCACTCAAGCAAGCATACGGCCTGTGGGAGATCCACTTAGACCAAGGGAAGCTTGGAGGAGGAGGGGTCAAACCCACAACGTTGGGCGGCAACTTGCGCATGCAAGTACCCAGCGTGGTCGTACCAGCACCACAACCTCGATGCACACATGGCAAAACAAAAGAGCAGATAGGCAGATAGTGCAGGAATCCCAA